ACGCGGCGGCGCCGTGAGGGGCGGCGTGGGGCCGCGCGTGGGGCCGCGCGTGGGGCCGCCGCCCGGCTCCCGGTACCTGCCGGGCCCAGCTGTCCCGCTGGCACTGGAACACCATGGCGGCGGCGAGGGACACGGCGGCGCCGCGACGGCGAGCGAGGGGTCACGTGGAATCCGCGACGGCGAGCGAGGGGGGACACGGGATCACGGCGACGGCGAGCGAGGGGGGACACGGGGGCGCCGCGACGGCGAGCGAGGAGGGACACGGGCCTAGGGCTCGCGAACGCGCCGGGGCCGGTGGGCGGGGCCTGCGGGTGACGTGGACGCGCGCGCGCCTCGGGGGCGGTGGCGGGAGCGGGAGCGGGAGCGGGAGCCGGAGCCGGGGCCGGGGCCGGGGCCACACGAGCTCCCGGAGGGCCCTCGAGGCCCGGTGCGAGCGGAGCCCCGCGGAGGCTGCATGAGAGGCTGGGGTGCTCCGGGACACAGCTGCGCGGAGGCCCGGGGAGGCTGCGTGGAAGCCTGTAGAGGCCCAGGGGCCCTGGGGCCCCGCGTGCAGAGAAGTACAGGGATGCTGCACTAACACCTGTAGGGCCCCAGGGCATACAGAGACCTGGAGGCTGCACAAGAGGCAGGAGGGCCCCGGGGCCCCGCGTGCACGGAGGCCTGCGGAGGCTGCACTAAAACTGTAGGGCCCCCAGGGTCCGTTATACACGGAGGGCCGGGGACGCCACGCGAATGCCCGCAGGGCCTGCGGGCCCAGTGCACACGGAGGTCCAGGGAGGCCTCATGGTTCCCCCGAGGGCCTCTGGACACGTGTGCGCACAGAGGCCCGCGGAAAAGGAACTCCTGGAACGCAGTGTGCCCCGCGTCACAGTGAGGTGGCGTGAAATCCTGGTGAGTCCTCGAGGCCCAGTGCGAACGGAGGCCTGCGGAGGCTGCCCAAAAGCCCAGAGCTGCCCTGGGGACCAGTGTGCGCTGAGGCCTATGGAGGCCATGCGAAAGCTCGGGGTGTTGCTGGGATCACATGCACACAAAGGCGTTGGGAGGCCGCACGAAAGCGCAGAGGGCGCCCGGGGCACAGTGTGCGCGGAGGCCGGGGGACGCTGCACAAAAGCCCAAAGGTCCCTTGGGGTCACGTGTAATTGGAGGCCCGGGGAGGCCACACAAAATGTGAGCCTGGGGACCAGTGCTCACATGGGGACCAGTGCTCACAGAGGGTCCCAGCGGGCTAGTGCGTATGGAGGCTCGGAAAGGGCGCACGAAAGCCTGAAGGACCTGCGGGACCGTGTGCACACTGTGGCCCGGGGAGGCCACGCGAAATCTGCAGGGACCTGGGACTCAGGGGACACAGATGCCCAAGGAGGCCACACGAATGTCTGGAGGGTCCATGGGGCCACGTGTGTATGGAGGCCCGTCGAGGCCGCGCAAAAGCCTGGAGTGCCCCCGAGGCCACGTGCGCATGGAGGCTCGGGGAGGCCGCGTGAAAGCCCACAGGGCCCCTGGTGCGTATGGAGGCCCGGGGAGGCCACACGAAAGCCCAGAGGGCCCCTGGGGCGCAGTGTGCATGGAGGTGCGAGGAGGCCATATGAAACCCCGGAGGGTCCCCAGGGACCAGTGCGTGTCCCCAGGGGGCCACATGAAGGATCCGCGAGCATGGAGGCTCATGAAGGACCATTCAAGAAACAGCCAGGCATGAACAGTGCAGAAGCCGGTCAGTCTGGGCCATCCGGTCAGGAAACAGAGTTAGTGTTTAGTAGGTAAGAGATATAGAACTATTCCACCGTTCTCCCCCAGGAAATGGAGGGAGGGAGTTATTAAAATAATAGTAAGAGAAGTTTTGGTTGGACGTGGGCCCAATATCCCCAAGGACGGAGACTCCACAATATCTTTTGGTAACTCATTCCAGTGTTGAGTTTTCTCTTAGGCTTAAAAGAAATTTCCTATGTTTTAGATGTAGTTTGAGGTAGTCTCTGCTGGAGAGGAAGATCATTTCTTTTCCATATTCATATGACTTATATGGACTCATGTCGTCTGCTTTTATATAGAGTGTAGTAAAGTTAGAATGGCTGACACCATAGATTAACCAAAATGGAAATAAATTCCCTCTGTAGTCAATGAAGGAATGCAAGTTCTTCCAGATAACATTCTACTAAATGAGTCTCTCCATCACTATATATCCATATACCCATATCACTAAGTTAATATCTAGGCATTGCCTGACTTCTGTAAGTTAAAATCCAACTCCCAAAGCAGAAAATGTTTGTAAGTCCTTCCCTTATTGTTAACACGACATTTTGTCCTTTACCTTAAAGCAAGTCAGTGGTGAGATTCATATTGACAGAAAGTCATAATTAAGACTGTGTTTTACTCATATCGATCAGAGCCCCATAGTCCCCAAATTTCAAGAAAAAGTATTTGGAACATCTTGTTTCAGCTTCTAAATAACACAAAGCAGATTTTTTCTCAAGTGATTTAATTGCAAAATCCTTGGCTTTCCTGTTTTCTGCTCTCACTACAAATGCTGACGTTTCTGCAAAGAAAACCTTTTGCTGAGCAAGGTCTTTCTTAGCGCATCCTTGATTTCCTGGTTCCTCAGGCAGTATATGATGGGATTGAAGACAGGAACGACGACAGCGTAGAAAGTGGACACAATTGTGTTTGCGTTGTGGTCTGGAAGTGCTTTGGGCCTCACGTAGATGAAAATGCTTGTGGCATAGAAGACAATGACCACGATAAGGTGAGTGGCACAGGTGGAGAAGGCTTTTTGGCAGGTTCGTACAGAGGAAATGTGAAGGACGGTGAAGATTATATATGCATAAGATAGGATTACTACAAGCAGAGGGATCAGGAGAATAAATAGGGCAGCCACAAAATCGATATGGGCAGCTCTTTCCGTGTCTGTGCAGGCTAAGTTCAAGAGAGGAGAAACATCACAGAAGAAGTGATGGATTATATTGGGTCCACAGTATGTTATCTGAGAGATAAAATACACCTTGCACGCAGAAATGAAAAACCCAGACAACCAAGATCCTGTGGTAAGGTAGACGCAGACAGAGTGGCTTATAATCACGGAGTAATGGAAAGGCTTACAAATAGCAACGTAACGATCATAGGCCATGACTGCCAGCAGAAGGCACTCGGTGTTGCCCAAGCCAAGAAAGAAATACAACTGGGTCATGCATCCCACGAAGGAGATGTGTTTTCTTTGGGACACGAAGCTGAGCATTGTCCTGGGGACTGTTACCGTTACGTACCAGATTTCCAGGAAGGACAAATTGCTCAGAAAGAAGTACATGGGAGTGTGGAGGCTATAGCTTGTCCAGATAGCCAGGATGATGACAGTGTTTTCTGCTAGAACTATGACATAGGCCATGAGAAACAATGCAAAGAAGAGGATCTGCAAGTGAGGAGTAGCAGGAAACCCAAGGAGAATGAATTCTTCGACTCTGCTGTTATTGCTCACTTCCATGTCTGCCAAATATCTCTGTAAAAGCAATAACATCAACAACTTAGTGTTAGGGAACACAATATATTCGAGTACCCTTCTGTCTCTCTCTGCTTCTCTCTCTTTGTCTGGTTTTATAGTTGTTTTACACTCCTTTTCAGGCTGCAGTCAAACTAAAATTAGTGTTGATACTGCTGTTGACGCCAGTTCCATTAATGATTAAAGCATTCCAAGGTGCATGACGTTTAGAACAAAATAACATTAATTCAAGAGAATTCCGAATTCTCTGAATGACACAACGCATAATTTGTCTGCTTTCTTTCAGAGGAATTATCTGCTTTCTCTCTAATAGTTTTCTAAATTGTACTATGAACTTAATTGCAATTTTTTTGAACACAAATTTTGAACAAATGTTCATAAACATTTCTGAAAGTGGCCAAGTAGCATCATTACCAATAGACGCATTTACGTCGTCCTCATCAATACATAACTACTTTGTAAGGATGAAACTTGGATAGGGGTTACTTCTTAAAGACAGGTCAGAAACAAAGCTGTAATCACAACCATATTTAAAATAATAAGCATAAATACAACTTTTTTTTTCTGTACTACAATCCAAGTGTCCAGAAACTGCAGTATTAATTCAAAATACAATTTGAAAATTCCTTTCGCAAATTCAGATGATCTTTGAGAAACTTTGCCAACTGCTTCGTATTTGGAATAATACATTTCAGGTCTTGTATAAATAGGATGCAAGCCGGAATAGCCACTGAGAACTGGAATCCTCTCTCCCACGATAAGGCAAAATTCATTTCTGTGGGCATGGACTGTAGCACCACTAAAAACACCCTGGGGTGACTGAGAGACCAAGATAGGGATGGTGAATATTATACAAGGTTTATAGCATCTCTGTGCACTTCTGGAGCAGAAGTTGGAGGGTATATGGGGTAGCCAAGAGCATCTAGTCTTGTTTCTAGTCAAGTCTTGTTTCAGGCAACTGAATCGTGTCATAAGGGGTTGCCTTCCTTGCCCATAAAGTTGCTTGCGACCAGTTGAGATACCATAAGTTATGGAAGTGCCATGAACTGCACAAAGCTGTGGGCGATGTCTGCCCTTCTGGAAGGGTAGCCAGAGGTTGGACCTTTCTGGGCGACTCTGAAGAAACCCTGCGTGTGAACAACTTAATCAAGGAAAGATCTGTCCTGTTGTTCTTTGTCAATACTGGTGAAATCTGCTGACTGTGGAAACTGAGGCTCTTAGGGACTGATTCACTCGTCTCATCATAGACCGTTGTTTCAGGTAGCCTTGGCTGCCCAGGATAAATACCCCAGGCTGGCATCTGCCCTTCTGATGTGGTAGGTGGAAAGCATCATTGAGAGGAACTCGAGTAGCACTTGGCACCTACACGTAGGCAACTGAATTTGGCAGTCATCTCATGAGCACATCTACAGGTGGGCACAAAAATTCAGGACCCTTAACCTGGCAACTGAGTCACATTGCTCCTGTTTAAGTCTGGAAAAGATGTTCTTTATAATCAACAGAGAAAAAGACACACAAGCAAAGAGAAATTCAGCTGACATGTTATGTACCTGGATATGAGATGACAACTGTCTTGATGTTCATGTTTGTATTAATTATAAAAAAAAAAGCATCATTAGCTTTCCCAAATATTAGTATCTAAATTATAAAGGCTCTGATATACCAGTTTTTTGTTAATATTAACTTATTGCACCAGCAATACCATGGATAATCATTGGAAAAGGTTTCAGAATTCTATAATCTTCCCATATACCAAATGAACATTAATGATGCATTTAGATCTTGAATGCACAGCTCCAGAAGCCTTCATAGTGCCCTGTGTGGTCACAGATCCTTTCCCTGAAAGTTATTTGGATGATTCCTTAGGTTTCTCTTGAGGGAAAGGGAAAGGAAGAGAAGGGAAGGGAAGCCAAACGGGAAGGGAAGGCAAGTGGAAAGTATCTTAATTGTTAAAATCAAAATTTAAAGATATTGTTGAGATTTTTCTGTTTCCATGGAAACTCTGGAATTTTCCTTGAGAAATAAAGCTTACTTTGTGGCTTCTCAATTAAAAAGATTTAGCACTATGCCCATCTTTTTTTTTTATTATTTTCTCATTTTTTTTTAACCAGCTTTGTTTACTCAGCAGATCATAATAAATAAATAAACAAATACTTAAAGAAAATAGTAAATAAGTCAGTAAATTCACTTACAGATTTGGATCCTTGAACAAATATAGAATATATTCTATGAAGCTTTCAGGGAAGGTGACAAAAGATACTCTGTTTTCTGAGTGTTAGGACATCTCTTCATTATTATTTTTTCCCTGTCCCCAAGACTTAGTCTATGCGTTTGGTTTGTTCTTCCAAAGGGACCAATCAAAGAAACTATTTCTTCTCTTGTCCCTAACATGTCAATAGTATTTACCATTGAGGTTAAGAAACGACCTCGATCCTGGAAACAGAATGTATGGTCTTTTCCAGATAGCTGAAAACAGCTTAAAAAGCATTTCTGATTGTGAGGAATGATTTGTAAAAGGTTTGTAATAGGTAAGCAAAGCCATTTATGACATTGCTGACAAAGATCTGCAGTAGCTTATTGAGCTCATGTTCTGAGAAGCTTCTCTTCAAACGACTGCGAGACAAATCACAGAATCACAGACTGCTTCCCGGGGACTTTTGGAGATTATCTAGTCCAATGTCCCAGCGCATTGTCCAGGGTCCTGTGCAGGTGGCTTCTGTAGGTACTCAAGGAAGATGTTTATATTCAAGGAAGGTCCTCCTCCAGTCTTTTCTCCACGCTGAATAGGTCCAGCTCTCTCAGCCTTTCCTCACAGGAGAAATCTATCAATCCCCTAAGAATCTGAGTAGCCCTTCACTGGATTCCCTCTAGGAAGTGCATGTTTCTCCTGTGCTGGGGAGCCCAGGACTGGACACAGTTCTGCAGATGTAGCCTCACCGTGTCTGAGGAGAGAGGGAGGCTCTGCCCTGGGAGCTCTGCTCCCCGAACCTGCTAGCAATGCTCTTTGTAATGGAGCTGTGGATTGCCCTGTCCTTGGCTACAAGGGCACGCTGTTGACTCGTGGTTAATTTGTGATCCCTCAGGACCAGCAAGTCCTTCTCCGTGGAGCTGTTCTCCAGCTGGCCTGAAACACCTTGTGCTGATGCACGGGGTTATTCCTTCCTAGGTGCAGCATTCTGCGCTTGCCTATCTTGAACTTCATGAGGTTCCTCTCTGCCCATCTCTCCTGCCTGTCAATGTCCCTCTGAATGGTGGCACAGCCCTCTGGGTACAGCCACACCTCCTGGCTTTGTATCATCACCAAAACTGCTGAGGTGGCATCTGTCCCTTCATGCAGATCACTGAGGACTAATCTGAACAATGCTGGTCCCAGCAATGACCTCTGAGATCCACTGCGACTTACAGGCCTCCAACTAGACTTTGCACTTCTGAAGACAACTCTCTGACTTCTGCCACTCAGCCTGTTCTCAAACTAGGGCACAGCTTGCGTATTTAACCTCCTCTTCCTCAGCTTGCCTATGAGGATGTTATGGGAGGTCAGACACTGCAGTCAAGGGAGACAATATCCACTGCTCTCCCCTCTTCTTTTTTTGAAGACTGGAGTGACAGATTTGCTTTCTTCCTGTCCTTAAGCAATCCCTAGCCCAATTCTCCTCCTTCACAGAGGGAGGGAAAGTATTCCTTTCTCCAAACCTTCTAGCTGGTCTTTGGGCTCTGGAATTCCTGAGGGCTGCAAGGACTGAAGCATAGAATGCCTTGTGTGTCTGCCTCCTCTGTGTCCTTTGTCTTCAGGGCCCCTGAAGAAGCTCTTCGTTCGTGCATGCAAGCCTCCTGCTCCCTTTGCTCAAATTCTTGCTTCTTGGGATACACAGTTCTTGAGCTGAGAGATGGTGATCCTCAAATATTAACTGTCTGTCTTGCAACTCCATTTCTTCTAGGGCCCTATCCCATGGGATTCTTCCAAGCACATGACTGCTGAGCCCAAAGTGTGCTCTCCTGAAGTCCAGGGTTGGGAACCTGTTTTTTCACCTGCTGTGTCCTCTCAGGATCCTAACCTCCACCATCTCTTTCATCGTCACTGGGGTCCCATCACATCTCCACTCCTTCCTTGTTTGTTAGTCCAAGTTCCAGCACAGCACCTCTCCTCCTTGGTTCCTCTAATACCTGTGTTCTCCAAGAACCTCCTAGAGTGTTTGTGCCTTGCTGTGTTATTCCTCCAGCAGATGCAGAATGGTTAAAGTTCCCCAGGAGAAACAGGACCTGTGATTAAGAGGCTACTTTCTACTGTCCATGGAAGGCTTCATCTACTTGCTGTTCTTGATCAAGCAAGCATCTATAACAGTGTCACCCATGCTAGTCTGCCCTTTAATCCTCCATAAGGTCTCAACCCACTCATTATCCAACCTGAGACAGAACTCTGTGCATTTTAGTTGCTCTCTTACATAAAGGGCTACTTCCTAACCTCAGGTCCTGGCCATGTCCTTCCTAAAGAGAGTGTAGCTGTGATGTCCACTGAGAGAACTAGAGGAAACGGCCACAAACTGAAGCATCAAAAGTTCTCTAGGAACTTGAGGAAAAACTTCTTAACAGTGAGGGTGACAGAGCCCTGGCACAGGCTGCCCAGAGTTGTGGAGTCTCCTTCTGCAGATCTTCCAAACCTGCTTGGATGCAGCCTGCGCCACAAGCTCTAGGTGACCCTGCGTGTGCAGGGGCGTTGGACTAGATGATCTCTAGAGGTCCCTTCCAACCTTAAGGATTCTAGGATTCTATGATCATCTCCCTGCAGCTGCTTGCAGATTGCTCATCCCTCCTGTTATTCACCATATCGTGTCCTGATGTCCTGATATTGACCATATTATGTTCATTTTTATACAGGCACTTCTGAGAGGTATCGAAAACTCGCACAGATTGCAGATGGCTGACGTGGTAGAATTAGTTACAGAAGATCAGGCTTTGAAATAACATGAGATGATGAAGGAAATATATCTCCAGTCTAACATCTTATTGAAAATCTTATGCTAACACCACCTGAGGCCAACTGCTCCTGGAAGAAGGGTACAAAGCAGTCAGAAAAGCTGCTGTCCAGAAGTGCTTATTTCACAACATTATACATAAAAAGGGCAAATTCTAGTTTCTAGTGCCTAGCACGTTGTGGCTTACCTTATTTAGGTAAGAACCTTGTGGCTTACCTTATTTAGGTTCCTCTACTCAGCTCTGGTGAGGCCGCACCTGGAGTACTGTGTTCAGTTCTGGGCACCCCAGTATAGGAGGGACGTGGAGCTTCTCGAGAGGGTCCAGAGAAGGGCAACCAGGATGATTAAGGGAATGGAACATCTCTCGTATGAAGAGAGGCTGAGTGAGCTGGACCTGTTTTCTCTGGAGAAGACACGGCTCAGAGGGGATATGATTAATATGTATAAGTTCAGGAAGGGAGAATGCAGGGAGGAAGGGGACAGGCTGTTCTCACTGGTGGCCAGCGACAGGACGAGGGGTAATGGCCACAAGCTGAAGCACAAGAAGTTCCGTCTCCAGGTGAGGAGCAACTTCTTTACTGTTAGGGTGACAGAGCAGTGGAACAGGCTGCCCAGGGAGGTTGTGGAGTCTCCTACTCTGGAGATCTTCAAAACCCGCCTGGATGCCACCCTGTGCCACATGCTGTAGGTGTGCCTGCTTGAGCAGGAAGGTTGGACTAGATGATCTGTAGAGGTCCCTTCCAACCTTAAATATTCTGTGAATCTGTGAATCCTCTAGAGGTGGGACTCCATTGCCCAAACATTGGCATGTAGTGTCCCTGAGAAATACTAGTCCCTGCCTAGACCAGATGGGCATCTTTGGGTCCTGTGTCCCGCCTGACTGTTCCATGCAGATGTCTGTGGCACTCTGAGATGTCTGAAGCGACTCTGGATACTTCTGTTTATAGCCCTATACCTCACCCTAAATGTTTCTTTCTTTGGAAATCTTGGTGCAGATGGTTTTCACCGACATACACAGTTCCCCGGGCCTTGATGGGATGCCCCAACTCCATGAGTTCTGAAAGTGCAGGCTGAGGCCTTTGTAAGGCCCCACTCATGAAAAGTGCATTGATCAGAAGAGGTCCTGAAGGACTGGAGGAAAGAAAATCTACAGTTTTTTTAAAGGGCAAAACGCGGGACCCAGGGAACTGCAGGCCTGTCCACCTCACCTCGATCCTTTTAAGATGATGGAGCAGCTCATCCTGGATACCCTTTCAAAGCACACAACGGACAAGAAAGTGATCAGGAGTAGTCAGCATAGGTTTACTGGGGGAAATTATGCTCAACAAAGCTAATAGCTGTCTATGATGCAATGACCATCTGGGTAGATGAAAGGAGAGCAGTTTATGTCATCTGCCTTGACTTGAGCAAGGCTTTTAACAGTGTGTTCCATAGCTCATAGAGGAGCTGCTGAATTACAGACTAGACTTCATGCTGAATTATAGACTATAGCCTTCAGGCTGAAGATGAGCAGACGGGGGACTGAAGACCTTGGCAAGGGCCAGTGCAAGAGCAGCATTTATAGAATCATGAATGAGTTTTTTTATGGAACCATGAATTGACCCATTGGGTTACACTAGTTACAGGCCTCCAACTACAGGTGAGAACCCCAAGAGATCTGATCCCATAAAAACCTCCTTCTTGGTTCTATAAATGCTGCGCTTGCCAGCTAACGTCTAGAGAAAGGCTAACAGGCCTTCAACAGCAGAACTTCATTGCATAACTGAGTTAATCCTTGTACCCAAGAATTCACTATGGCTTTCAGTATTTGCTACAGGATTCACAAGTTAACTAATTCTTTTGGTTGGCTAGTAGGAAATTATACAGAGCTTAATTAACAAATGTATTATGCAGTTATATAGCACATGCTGTTGGAGTTGTTCCTTAGAGAATGGTACTAGCAAACAAAGCAAAACAACAAAGCAAGACACTGAAGGACCGTTCTTTGTGAATGCAGCCGCATTTAGTACACTCCGCACTTTCATTTCTTTACTTCAAAATGTTTAATTTTCCATTCGAAACTATGTGCTTTCTGACCAGCCTCCACATAGAGCTTTTGATCTCCTTGTTGCGCAATGTGTAAATGATGGGATTAGTCAAGGGGAAGATAACTGTATGGAAAACAGCAACAACCTTTTCCATTGGGACAGCTTGGAAGGGTAAGGCATAGATATACATGGCTGGGCCCCACATGACAAAGACCACAATGATGTGAGAAACACAGTTTGAGACTATTTTACTCTTTCCCTCGGAGGACTGTGTGTGGAGCTTCATCAGGAGGACAGTGTATGAGATGAGGAGAAGGGCAAAGCACATGATGATGATAACTCCGTTGCTGAGGAACATCAGCAGCTCCACTGCATGGGTGTCAGCACAGGCCAACTTCACCAGCTGATGGATGTCACAGAAGAAGTTGTCCAGGATGTTGGGGCCACAGAAGGGGAGATAAATGGTGAGACTAAATATAACGATACCATGGATGAAGCCCCCAGCCCATGAAGCTCCAACCAGGGCACAGCACACCCTTCGGTTCATAAGTCTGGAGTAGTGGAGAGATTTGCAAATAGCCGCATAACGGTCATAGGCCATGGCCATGAGCAGGAAAGCTTCAGCTGCTCCCAGGAAGTGGAGAAAGAAAAGCTGAGCCATGCAGGCACCATAGGAGATAGTCTTATGGTGTAAGAAGAGGTCAGCTAACATTTTGGGTGGGGTGACAGAGCAGTAGCAGATGTCTAAGAAGGCCAAATTGGCCAGGAAGAAGTACATGGGGGATTCCAGTTGGGAATCCCTCTGAATTGTGAGAACAATAAGGATGTTGCTTGGCAGAATGATCATATAGAAGAGTAGAAACAAAAAGAAGAGAATCATCTGAACTTCATGGGTTTGTGACAGTCCCAACAAGATGAACTCTGTAACTGTTGTGTAGTTCCCTTGTTCCATTTCCACTGCAAAGAACCCTGTGAAAGAGACAGAAATCATGGAATAAAGCCAAATAGCAATACAACATTATAAAAGTGCCTAAGCAATCTGAGACTTATTTAGATTGCCTAAAATAGATACCTTTTGCCCGTTGCTTATCTTTAGAAAATCTTATCTTACCTGGCTTATCTGACCTAGTCCTTTTCTTCTTGACATAAAGAAACAGGGTCTCAGGATCTAGGGTGCTATACATTTCATTTTAAGGGAGACAGCTAAATAAGGCTAGATGAAATGCCTTTTAAAATTACCTGATTAACCTAAAACCACTCCTTTTGTCATAAAAGGAAACTAAGTAGAGATTACTCACATCTGAAGAAAGGGCTTTGAATCCCTTCGGATGGATACACTGACAGCTCCCAAATTATTATTTTCAATTCACAGTCTAAAATTTGCTCACAGTTAATGGTGCTGGTATACCAGCGTAGCCATTTCAGGAAATGACTAGTTTCATTGAATATTTTCCCTGGAATAGATCATTTCCATTATTTTTTTAACGTGCCCATTTTCCCAATCGTCTTTAAAGGGATGTCCAACTACGGATGTCCAGCTCACGTGAAGACTTTTATCTTTGTCCACAGAAATCTCAACTGCTGTATGCTTTTCCAATGAAGCCAACAGAGCACTGAGAACATAAATAGAAGTCCATTATGTAAATACTGTTATGAAACGAAGCCTCTGTCAATCAGCAGGAAGATTGTGTGGAAAACACGTTGTCCTTTTGCATGGAATGGGTTAAATTATTTCATGTTCATAGCTTTTGAATTGAACTCTGAATATTGTCTTCTCTTACATGAACATTATGAATGAACTATTCAGATTTATCTTAGGGTCTTAGGATCCCTAGGAACCAAAGTCCATTAGGGTCTTGTGGTTATCTTAGATCTTTTGCTTTAATACCTCTCCCCTCTTCATACCCCTCTTCTCTCACTTCTTTCTCTTCTTTAAGGCAAGATTGTAAGTTTTTTTGCTTTTTTTCTAAAACTATTTTCTACTGTTTTGCTAAAAAGAAAGTGTGTGTGCATGTATGACTGGGAAGGGAAGAATGGAATGGAAAGGAAAGGAAAGGAAAGGAAAGGAAAGGAAAGGAAAGGAAAGGAAAGGAAAGGAAAGGAAAGGAAAGGGAAGGGAAGGGAAGGGAAGGGAGAGAAAAAAATATGTCACTTTTTGGTATTTACTTCAAGTTTCAAAATGTAATTTCATGTCTTGAAATACTTTTTTTTTTTTTTTTTTTTCCCTGTGTCTTACTTTGTTACATGGATAGCTGAATGTCTGGTTAGGCTGGCTCTGTGCATAAATTCATGTTATTCACCTTTTCATTTTCCAGGTGACTGAGAATTTGCATTCCACGAATCTGGAGCTGTTTCTCTTTGTCTCCCTATAAATTCTCACCGTGTTCTGATGAGCCTGGCAGCTACCCCTCCATCCCTTCCTGCCCTATCCCCTGGGAGCTCCATTTCAACAGGAATCTTCCACCCCGCACTGCTCTTCTGCAGCAGACAGATCCACTTAACCTAGTAACAAGACTCTCTCCTCATTTTTATTCCTACATGGGCTTCTGCAGAAGCAGAATTTGCAGAATATGCAGAATTTCACATTTTCTGAATATTGAAATACTGAATGCTTTTGCTCAGCTATTTGAATTCTATTCTGCCTACGTAGTTCTGATTTTGAGCAGTACCTCTGTCTTTGGACAGGGCAATTTTACATATAATCTCCAAATTTATCCCACAGTTATATGTGATTGATACGTCATTACTGAGCCTGGATTTATATGTAAGTATTATAGGGAGAGATTAGATCTGCTGCTAGGCGGATGAGGAATAATCCCGTGCTAGCTCTGCTGGAATCCTCATCAGAAACATTTGCAGACCCTTCTTTAGGCTAATTCTGATGCCCGCCTGCAGATCTAAGCGAGGTGGCACTCTGGGCTTTTGCTAGTTGTTTCCTGCACTATTTGGTTCTGAACACCAAGGAACCTACGTGCTGATTCAAGGAAACTCACTTCTAGTATGGCTGTAGTTTTAGCAGTTTAATCATACTATAAAAACTACTGCTGAGTAGTCCAACCTCGATAATGCTAACATTCACCCAATTTCTGTTTAAGATCACTACTGATCAAATGAATTTAGTAGAAACAAGTGGATATAGCTTTTCCTTGAAGATAAATTCTCACTCTTTCAGTCCTCTGCAGTCCAAGGTCAAGCGTCCTTCCTCAGGCAAGGCAAGTTGTCAACATCTCATGTCCTCTATAGGGAGGAGTACGGTGCTGCTGGTAGGGTCCTCTTCTTCCTCTGTTCTGAATGCACACAGCACTGTTTTCACTGACATCTCTGTTCCCAGCATTTCCTGAATCATGCTGTCCTTACACGTAGGACTTTTATCTACCCAAATTCTAGCTTTACTCCACTCCACGATTCTCCAGTTATTTCTTCAGCTTCGTGCAATCCCAGCTGTACAATCTTACAGATACGTGCTAACAGCTTCATTATATATTTCCCTTTTGGGAGCTCCCATGGTAGTCCATTGTCACCTGAAGTCTTCTCACCCTTCTGGCTGTGACCCTTTTCACACGCCCATGTATTTGCTGCTGCTTTGCAGGCCCCTGAGATTTGGCTTCCTTGTGTTCCAGACCAACTCGCAGCAACACAAGGAATTACAGACTGCCACCCCATTGTTTGTGATACCATGGTTTTCACTCACCATCTTCTCACCATCCAGCAGTGGAACAGGCTGCCCAGGGAGGTGGTGGAGTCTCCTTCTCTGGAGGTCTTCAAAACCCGCTTGGATGCCACCCTGTGCCACATGCTCTAGGTGTGCCTGCTTGAGCAGGAAGGTTGGACTAGATGGTCTCTAGAGGTCCCTTCCAACCTTGAATATTTTGTGATTCTGTGTGATTCTGTGATTCTGGTGGAGAAGGAATGCTGAAGTCCAGAGGACAGAGAAGATGACATTTTCTTTTCAGACACTAGGTGTTGCTGTCTGTGTCTCTTTGGATACAACTGAGTGTGTGTCTGATCTCTGGTTGCAAAGCTGAAGGTGACAGTGTTGTGGCTGGCAGTGATTGCGGAGCTCCAACACCCATGGGTCTTAATAAAAGCTCTGAGGTTTAGAATTTTATTTATAATTATTTATCAATATTTACTTTTTTTTATTTTTTTTGACAGGTTCTGTTCTTGGTCCAGGAAGTAGCTAGAGGCTCCTTCTAAGCTACTTTCTTACGGCTTCATGGTTAATACTATATTTATATGAATGATAGCTTCATGCTTCTGCAAGCCTCAACGTCTGGCTTTCCATATTCTGCACAAACATTCTGATTTGATAATGTAGAGAATGGAAAGCTATGGCCTAGAACTCTTCAACTCAGCTCATTTCATCTCATTTATGAATATGTAGAATATAGTGCACTGAGAAATACACCTAATTCCTGAAAAGAATTCCTTCCATCTTACCACAAGAATTAAATGAAGAGGGAGACACTGAAGGCACTTTTGGCTATAACAAATTTGACTAGTTATTCACCTTTAACATGGCTAAAGGTAGAGGACGTGAATCCTTCCTCTACAACTTTGATGTTTAATTATCACTAAGGTCATCTCACAAAATCCTTTATACATTTTGGAAACACAGCACGTTGTCCAACTATACAAAGCAAAGAAACTCCCTAATTTTATCATTCTTTTCCTACCTCAAAATTGGCAGCATATCAGAGAGTCCAGTGAATCAGAATTGGGAAATGCCTATTTCTCTTCACCAACTACAAAGATTTTTTGGAATAAATGTTTCACATTTCAGATATACCATTTAGGTGACATTAATTTTAGGTGGTATATTAATTCCAATGCAGGTTTACACAGAATTATTCACAAGAGTTTGAAATTCCTTGCAATAAGTTAGCAAAATTTTAGTCAGTTTTGAAAAAGTCAATGTTATAAGAAATTAATTTTAAAAAAGAAGCCTATTATAGCTTTGCAAAAGATTAAATTTCTGATTACAAAGCAAAGCATAAAATGCCACAGCAGGATCACAGGCCCTCTTCTTGCAAGCACTCACCAGGTCAAGGAAATGCGGGCAGAAAATGAGGCTTGGAATAGCAGGGAACCTTGGAAGAAGAGACAGGCATCTTCCATCTTCTAGATGTTGCAGAGCTTGCTCAGTCATACACCTACAGGAAAGTGAATTCCAAAGCTCCAGACCTGGAAATGGCCTTGTTGTGGATGACCTCTGGAAACCTATATCCAAAGATAGGCCCCCATTTTCTTGATGACTCCCTAGACCTCTTTGTTCCTTAGGGTGCAGACTAGTTGGAATGACATCTGGAGTCACCAAAATGCCCTAGGAGAAACAGTCTTGTCCTTGTCCAAGTAATAGCTGGAGTCCAGCCTGACCTCACCAGTCCAGATGACTGTGGAGTAACAGAGACACATCAAAGGGCAGAGAAAGCTCTCCTCCAGGACAGGAACCTGGACAGGCATGGTTGATCAGACCCTTGATTAGATCAAGGGTCAATTGATTAGATCAGACCCTTACCAGAAATTCAGCAAGCACTGAGTAGATGTGTGCTCTGATCTATTACATATCCACTCCTATGCTGCAGCTACCCAGGCTCACACCATTAAGGAATCAAAAGATTTGACTGGTTTATGTGGTTCTCTTGGGGGGATCCAAAGTGATGAGAGCACTCATTTTACAGGAAATGACATTCAAAATTGGGGCGGATAACTGAAGAATAGCCTGGAGATATCATACACCCTATCATCCACATGAGATCAGCAGAAAGAAAGATCAGGCTGCTCAAAAATTAGCTGAACAAACTGTCACCTACTGGTACCCTCCCAGTTTGGAGTAAAAACGTTTTAATGGGCAATGTTCTACCTCAATGACTATCCACTGCATGGCTCTCCCCAACATGCTCAAAGAAAAGAGATACAAAATACAAAAAGAAATAACTATAGAACTGCATA